CCGATTATCATTATCGACTACTTCACTGGACGCATCGCGTTAACTTCAATTTAGCGACTCTCTGTTTCCAGATGTTCCGCGCACAAACAGCTCGTTAATCAATGCAATTATCAGTTTTCTAATTATTACGGGAAAACAGTATGGCGAGTTGTCGCTCGTTATAAACAATTTTGTCCTATCGTTCATATAAAAAGTATACATGTTTTATATTAACCGTTTACTCTTCGCTTATTATTATTTTGTTATCCTTTGAATTTTGCTGATATATTATTATTATGATTATTTTTATAATTCATATTCAGATGTTGACACCTTGGGAACAAATAATTCTTCTAGAATTTTCGTTTTTTTCGAGATCTTTACATTTCACATTTTTTTGTCAATATTTTCAATATTGTAATTAATTCCAATCAAGATTTAATATAAAATAAAAATCCAAGTAATTCTAATCAATATCTGGCAAAATTTTATGTATTTTGTATATGAAAAACATCAGAATGGCCTTCCCAATTAAAAAAATAAACAGTTTCGCCTATAATTTATGCTACCACATGCACTCTATAAGAAACGAGTGTATCGCGTGTCCCCGTCTTATGCCTATCTTATAATTTTAATATTTGTTTCGTAACACTCGGGTGCGATTATTACGTCGAACGATACAGTGACAATAATATTCAGACAGTAACCACCACATGCGTGATCTGAAATCTGAGAAGCACCATTGATCGATCTTCGCGATCTTGGAGGTCATCGTGAGATAAGAAAGGCAGATTGAAAGAATTTTACGAAAAACATGTGTACAAACTGTATCAAAGCTACGTTATTTTTCAACAAATTTTTCAACGAATCGAAAATCAACCTTTTTTTTTTGTTGCAAGTCTGAAGTCTAGATACCAAATTATGCGTCACTCATTGCTATTCGCGATTCGGAATTTGCAAATTTATCCTACTATGGGATTTATGAATGTGCAAATTTGCTATCAGAATTCGTTATCTATTATTAATTTATTATTATGTAATTCGTCAACGGAGTGATTTTTTTTTTGACGAAATC